CCATAGTAGTTATATTATTTTCAATATTATTACAATCCTGTCAAACCCTATTATTCTTGGTCTTTCTTACTTAGAAAGGCATAACCCATCCATAGATTGGAGGTTATGAAGGATGACATTTCCTATAGAACATTTCGAGAGTAAGCTTGTTAGAAGATCCCAAATCAAAAAAATCCTTATTTATTGGAGCAAGAGCATTTGTAACATCATCCAAGGAAGGCATATCATTTGTCATTTATGTGACTTCAACTAGCAAAGAGAAGATTTCAACGGCAAATATATTGGAGTAATATAAGGATTTTGAAGACGTGTTTGAAAAGAAGAATGCCAACATGCTACCGAAGCATCGACTATACGATTGTGCCATAGACTTGTAGGAAGGAGCACAACCATCTTTTGGCCTAATCTACAATTTGTTGCAGACAGAGTTAGCGGAGTTGCAGAAGTACATTGACGAGAATCTAGTCAAGAACTTCATTCGTCATTCGAAGTTGCCAATTGGGGCTCCAATCTAATTTGTGAAGAACAAAGATGGCTTACTACGGATTTACGTGGATTATCGAGGTCTCAAAAAGGTAACAAAGAAGAATCGTTATCCATTACCCTTGATATCAAGTCCTCTAGAGCAACTTAGGCATACAAGGATCTTTACAAAGATTGATCTAAGGAGAGCTTACAATCTCGTGCAAATCAAGGAAGGAGATGAATGGAAGATAGCTTTTCGTACAAGGTATGGCCATTTTGAATATAATGTCATGCCTTTCAGTCTTACCAATGCTACAACGGTCTTTCAACATATAATGAATGACATCTTTTGGGAGCACCTTGACGATTTTATTGACATCTATCTAGATGATATTTTGATATTTTTGAAGAACATAGAAGAGCATGAAAAATACGTTCGTTTGGTCCTTGAAAAACTTTGCGAGTAAGGACTTTATGCCAAGTTGGAGAAGTGCTTGTTTTACCAAACTGAGATGGAATTTTTGGGATTCATTGCAACTACGGAAGGCTTGAAGATAGACCCTAGGAAGGTAGAAGCAATCATGTCATGGGAAGTTCCAAAGATGATTAGAGATGTACAATGCTTTCTTGGCTTTGTTAACTTCTATTGGATCTTCATCAAGAATTATTCTCAAGTTGTTGCTTCGCTCACTTGATTGACATAGAAAGACAAGCTCGAATAGAGACCTCTAGCGGAAAAAGCGTGTTAAGATCTTAAGACTCCATTTACTACAGCTCAAATCTTAGTACATTCAGACTTTGCAAAGGCCTTCTATTTGGAAACCAATGCTTCAGATTTTTCTATGGGAGCTGTACTTTGCAGATAGGCACAAATGAGAAGCTTCATCCGGTTGCGTTCTACTCTCGAAAGTTTTCTACTACCAAGATCAACAATGAGATCTATGATAAAGAACTTCTTACCATAGCAGATTCTTTCTAAGAGTGGCGTCACTTTCTCAAAGGAGCTATGCATCTGGTGATCGTATACACGGATCACAAGAATTTGGAGTACTTCATGTCGGCTTGGATTCTAAATCATTATCAAGCTTGATGGAATATGTTGCTCTTCAAGTTTGACTTTGTTATTATTTATCGGCTTAGGAAGCAACAAGGTCTATCTGATGCATTATCAAGGAGATCATATTTAGCGCCAAACGCTAGAGAAGCAACGTTTGATCAACAGTATACAACATTGTTGAAGTCACAATAATTCAGGCTTTGCTCTGCTATAGTGCCAATTGATGCTGACTTCCTCAACTAGATACGTACCACGACTATTGGAGATTCTGTAGCCCTCGATATCATGTAACGTGTCAATAATGACAATTTCAAGGTGAAAGATCTTTTATACTTTGAGGAGCTATTGTATATTCCAAAGGAACTAGCACGACTCCAAGTTTTTTAATCTCGACACGACTTTCTAGCTGTGGGACATTTTGGATTCAATAAGACCTTCGAACTTATTTCTCGAGATTTTTGGTGGCTCTAAATGTGGAAGGATGTCAAGGATTTTGTCCTCTCTTGTGATATTTGTTCAAGATTCAAGAATCCTTTGCATCGTCTTTATGATCTTCTTTAGTCATTGCTTATTCCACGTTGGCCATGGTCTTGAGTTTCCATGGACTTCATTACGGACCTGTCGCCATCAAATTCATTTAATAGCATCTTTGTTGTAGTAGATCAGTTTACAAAAATGGCTCACTTTGTCCCTTGCAAGAAAACATCGTGAAGCAAAGATACAGCAAGGCTCTTCCTTGATAGTGTATATCGATATCATAGTTTACTAGATGATATTGTGTCGGATTGATGAATCCAATTCGTATCAAAGTTTTGGAGATCTCTCTTTGAGATATTGAAGGTGGATATCAAGCTTTCTTCGGCTTTCTATGCTCAAACTAACGGCCAAACGGAATGCATGAATCAAATTTTGGAGCAATATTTATGATGTAGTATCAACTATCAGCAAAATGATTGGACTACATATCTATTGTTAGCCGAGTTTGCATATAACAACACCCTTCATGCATCGACTCAACAAACACTATTCTTTTCCAACTATGGATATCATCTGAAGCTTGATTTATTGAGTCCGTCAACCAATAACAATTTGACAACTAAAGGATTTGTAAAACAACTATCGAAGCTTCAAACTACGTTGAAGCTTCAATTGCAAATTGCCCAAGAAGCTTACAAGGCGTCCATAGATAAATTTTGGAATCAAACACCTACTTTCAAAATTGGAGATAAACTATGGCTGCTTCGATAGAATATCAAAACCAAGTGGCCATGTGATAAGTTGGACTACCGGAGATTGGGACCATTTGTCATCCAGAAGCAAATCAATCTAGTGGCATACCATTTGGGATTACCAGCTGTTATGAAGGTACACCCAATCTTTTATGTTTCTTTATTGGAGCCTTATCGAGAGTCGTCTTTTCTTAGAAGAGTGCAATGTCCGCCACCTAATATTGAAATTGAGAACCACAAGGAATACAAGGTGGAAAAGGTACTAGATTTGTGGCGTAAGTGGGAAAAATTGAAGTACCTAGTGCATTGGAGCGACTATAATATCAATGAGCGCACATAAAAACCATCGAAAAATCTTATTAATGCATTGTAAAAGGTACAAGAGTTTCATCGATGCTATCTTCAAAAAACTAAGCGCTTTCGATGAAAGTTTTTCAGTGAAATTTCTTCTCCTTGAAGCCTCTTAATCCTCGGCCTTACAAAGAAGGGAAAGAAGGAACTTCTAAAAGACATAGTTAGAGACTATAAATATATAACCTAAGTCCATTCTTTTATGTTTAATGCTTGTTTTTTTTCGGTTTAATATGGATAACCAAGAGATAGATACCATACCAGTCATATCCTCTCAATTGAGTATTTCACAAAGATGACTCCGAGATGAAGAACCGCTTATACCATGAAGACGATGGAAGATACCTAGTAACAAGTTGCTAGTGATTGTCTTTGAAATAGCACCTACCTACGAAGATCTTCTAAAAGGAGTGTTTGGAGGGCATTTTCACAATGAAGACACGGAAGTTTATGTCTGATCAAAAATCGAAGGCATAGGACATTATCGTTGGTTACAAGGACCAATAAATTACTTGCCACGTGAACAACAATTGGAGTATATTGCAGATACTATGGGACAAAAAATTTCAACTTCTTTTGTTGGTACTGACTCGCAATAGGAGTGCTTCTTGGAGACCTCGAAGCTAAAGGGAGGGGGGGGGTGATGTCAAGGACATACACTAAGAAGTTGTAGAAGATTCTAGAAGATTTTAGAGAAGCTTTGTAGTTTAGAGAAGCTACTTGAGAAGTTTTCAAGCTCGTGGAAGTTGCTTGAGAAGCTTCTTAGCTTGTGGAAGCTGCTTGAGAAGCTTCATAATTCATAGACGCTGCTAAAAAAGCTTCCTAGTTTATGGAAGCTACTTGAGAAGCTTCTTAGCTTGTAGTATATATAGGAGCCGAGACTGAAGGGATCCTCAGTCTCGACAACACACTTCTTGGAGTTCTAGCTCACCACTCTAGTGTTGTTCTTGTACTCATTTGATTAATCTAGTTTTTGTCGATTCTTCTTGAACTTCTTGTTTAGATTTTCAATCAATATTCAAAATTTGTGACACTTACATGAAGTATCTCAAGAATGTATTTGGTTGTGATCAATTGATAACTTCATTCAAACAACCTATGGATTTTCATATGATAATTCTCCAACTATCTTGCATGAAGATAATAGTGCTTGTATTGCACATATGCAAGTTGGTTTCATTAAAGGCAACAAGACAAAGCATATTGATTCAAAGTATTTTAGTTATAATCACGACTTGATTACTAATCAAGCACTTATAATTAAGAAAATTGAATCTACAAATAACCTTGCTGATCTCTTCACCAAAGCTCTTCCATTGTGCAACCATCATCGACTTACTTATGGCATTGGTATGCGACGACTTGCTTTTCTTGAATAAGAAAGTTAATGAGTTCTTTAAATAATTAAAGAAAATGATGTTGTACTCTTTTTTCTTTCATCTATGGTTTTGTCCTTAAATACAATAAGGTTTTCTTAGATAAGGTTTTAATGAGGCAACAATTGTTGATCTTGCAAGATCGCAGAAAAGTACAGATCTTAATTCTATACAAATTTTATATTATGTAAATATTATGATGAGCAAGGAGGAGTGTTGAGATCATTAAATGTAGCAGCGCTCTCTAAAATATTTACTATAGACTACAGTAAATACTATAGCTATAGTATTTAGAATCTAGTAGAGAAGTATTATTTATCCTCTCCCCTTTCTCTTCTTGTATACGAGACACAATCAAATCAATAGATTTTTATGTGTGAAGCTCTCTTTTTAGAAACCTTCTTGTGTGTATGACTTACTACTACTCTTGTGTGTGTGTATTACTTACTATTACTCTTGTATCTTTCTAAACATTCTCAACAGGAATAACACCAATAATTTGTCTTTCTAACGAACCTGCAGGCTCGGTCCGAGCCTCAGGTTCACACCAATGGAAACGACTCCCAGCCACCAGGACCGAGCCTTAGGCTCGGAACGGAACTGGGTTGAGAACTCATCCAGTCGGGATCATTGCCGGGAAAGAGTGTTAGGGTTTCGCATGCCCCTGTTTGGCGATTGTGCGCCTGGTTATGGCGATGCTGCGATTGTAGGAGTGATACGCAGGCTCAATTTATGTGTCGAACCAGACGCGGGTGACGCTACAGTGCTTTGGCATGTTGGGTTTTTTCTGGGGTTGCTGTATATTGCGTCTTCTGTGAGGGCGGGAGTGGTCACAATGGAGGGCACTCTGAATATTGCGCAGAGGACGAAGAAGGTGGATGTGGACAATCGACTGCCATTAAAGTATTATTACCGGACGGCAGATAATCTTCTGAAGCAGGTGCCGGATCGGATCGCCTGTTTTTGGAGCAGCGTGATGGTTCTCAGTTGAAAAATTAGGGTATTTGTTGTTTTTATTTGAAGAAGGTTCGCGGTGTTTAGTTTATTCGGGGCTGAATTGGATGGGTTTCAGGCTCGAATTTTTCGCGATGAGGGGAATACTATCGATTACTACATTCTTCTGCTTCGATTTTCCAGGTGAATTGCGTGTTTGTCCAGTTTAGCAAGTGATTTGAAATTTGAGAATTGGAAATGGATTATTTTTATTTTTATTTTGATCTGAAGGTTATCATTATTTTGAATTTGCGGGTCTAGCTTTGCAGTTGGTTTCAGAAAGCGACAGCGTTAGGATCGCGGCCCCCAGCTGCGTTGTTGAGCGATTTTTAGAGTAGTTAATACCTTGCCAGTACATATCACGAAGAATTGTTGAATTGACAGCTTTTGTGTGCAGCTTGGTTTCTGAGACCATACCCGAACATCGCGAGTGTCGGTTGTATTCAAGGGAATTTGTTGATTACAGGAAAGTGAGTTTAGCAATCCTTTTCGCGATCGGTTGATAAGTCGACTTGTTTTGAAATATGGCAGACGGGTGTTAACATGAGATACTTATAAAGCTAGTAGGACGAAAATATCAGTTGTAACGTGTGCAGTGCCTAGGTTCCTTCAAGGGTTTATAGGAATTCTCTTTTGTTGTCGGGAACTGCAGAGATTGATAGATGTTGTGACGGAGCTTGAAAGGCTGAAGCCTGGAGTTCAGAAGCAAGTCGAGCAGTACAACAATTCTCTTCTTAAGCCCAGGGGATCTTCATATAGCCTACCTTCTTCATACAGTACTCCTTCTCATTATGATACTCCTTCCCACAACACCGCTTTTTCATATGACATTCCCTCACATAAGTTGCCTTCCCATAGCGAATCCTATGACAACAGAACACGGCAGCCTATCACAGGCGGTTCTTACAATAGGAACCAGACCTTCTCCGGAGTAAATCAAGATACGGTATGTTGAATACATTTGCGTGCTGTATCTGCTGTTTGAACTAATGGTCTGTGTTTGTGTGTTTTGCGAGCTTCATGACATAAAATCTGCACTTCTATCTGCATTTCCCATCTTCATGAGAAAGATCTTTTCACTAGTTTTTGAAACAGGTAGTTAAGAGTAAGCTGAATCACCTTGAACACTTTATTGATTGCAGTTTGGTGGCAATGGAACTCGAGCCCAAGTTCCGGTTTACGGTGCTCCAGCACCTGCATATAATCCGCCAGGACCGTCTTACAATAGTACTTATCTGGAAAGCCAACTTAAAGCTTTGTGAGTAACTCTTCTTGCGAGTTGTAGCAATGATATGAGTTTTGAATGAATTTGGTAGCAGCCGTTTTAGCTTCTGAATGAGCTTCTTTTAACCAAAGCACCCACATCATTGTTATCATGATTACTGCGGATTTAATTGCATTTGTAACTTTTCTCGCAATTAATCGTTAACTCAGAGAAGTGTATTTTCTCCTGTCATACAGCATTTCTAAAGCAAGTAGTATTGCTTGATTGTGATTTTGAAGTTTATCTTGAACTTGCAGATCCCTGAACATTCCAAGACCTACGGAAGAAACTCTTTCCAGGCATTCTATCCTTGGACCAAGTACGCAGCGACCACGAAGGGAGCCGGCACCTCTAAGGGTATGGAATAAGTTGAGCGATTTCAAGGCTGAGTGAATGTTGTGATTTGAGGTTTTATTTTCATTAGATGTAAGTTATCAGGGACTTCAAAGATAACATCGAGTGATGCTATTTATCTCATTGTAAATTTACAGGTGCAATACCCAAGCTATGTTGATGCTACACCGATTGAACTACCAAGGTTTGTCACATAGACTGTTGTATACCGCGCTGGGTTGTGAATCTGTTTTGAAGCAGGTTTATGACTGTGCGTAGCCTTGAATTAGTTATTCTGTAGGTTCCATTCTTAGCAGATGTTGGCCAAGGAATACAATTGGTGGTATTGCGTATCAATATTGAGTATCTGGAAAGGTAGCCTTTCTGATGTTTGCCATGATGGGCGCTTGGGGTGAAGCTTCATCCAGGATTGGAATGTTCCTGCTCAATTCCCAGCTGCGTCTACAAGTGTGCCTACTACAAATGTGTCTTCAACTGTTGCCGCTTTGGAGTCTTTATCAGATCCGGCACTTTGGTCTGGCTCTCAATCATCCGTCACAGTCGATGTAGCCCCTACAATGACATTGCTCAGGCAGCCCTCGCCACCTCCTATCGCCGCTTCTGTACAGACGGTGCATGCTGTCCATGATGTACATGACCACTCTCAAACTCAGTTGTCATCTGACCTGGTAGCGGATCCTCGTCCTGGAGCAGCACAAGATTTTAACGGTGATTTGTCCAAGGGGCCCAAGCATTTACACATTGTAGGCGCCTGCAACTTTGTCCACAGTGCTTGGCTTTGGTTGGTGTGGTTGATGTTTGTCTTGGCTATGTGTAGTGAACAATCGATCCGATTTCAGAGTGTCGATTTAGTGTCTGCCGCTTATGTTTTTTTAATTGTTTATTTTGTACTTTTTGGAGTGTTTAGGCTCATCATGATTTGTCGTTGTCTTTGCCCCAGTCCACAAAAATGATGGACGAATTTATGCGGCTGGCGAAAGCTAATACTACTCGCAATCTTGAGACATGTGGGGTTCTTGCTGGGTCTTTGGTGAGTTCAACCTGTGGCTTTGCCAGCCACTTAGAGCTTCTTCTTCTCTCTCTCTCTCCTCTCTTCCACAGATAAATGCTTAGCCAACTTCCATTTGTTTTCCTTTTGGTAGTAATATTCAGCGGAAACTAATGGACTCTAAACTATTTTTTGGTTCAATTTTGCAGAAGAAAGGCATCTTTTATGTTTGCACCTTGATTGTTCCAAAGCAGGAAGCTACATCCGACTCAGTATGTGTTTTTTTTTTTTTTTTTTTTTTTTTTTTACCTACTATAATCCTGATCTCATTCGTACTATTTGTTGTCATTATTCGTGCTAATTTACTTATATACGTTTGTGAGGCAAATCTAAAAGTTTTTGTTTACTTGATGAACGCAATTGTGTTGAGTGATTTTTGTAGTACTGCTTGTAAGCATTACTCTGCAGCATTCAGACATGGATTATTATCTTGATATTTTTCATAATTCTTTTAATGCAGTGTCAAACAATTAATGAGGAGGAGATATTTGATTCACAAGACAAGCGAGGACTTTTCCAGCTTGGTTGGATACATGTAAGTTCGTTCAGTCTGCAGGAAGTTTCCTAATTGGGATATGCAGATAATGAATGCCCATGCATCTTCCCCTCTATTTTTTGGTTGATTGATTTGTATTGGTGTTGACTACGCTGTCTCTGTTCCTTTTACAGACACATCCAACACAAACTTGTTTCATGTCCTCCATTGATCTCCACACCCATTACTCTTATCAGGTGAGTCAGTCTTAAGTCGGTAACTTTGATCATTGGAGAAAGATTAATATCATGTATGACTAGCATTTGCAGTGGATTGGATTTGTAGCTTTTCCTATCTCTGTTTGAAATCCGTGTACTTATATGTGCTCATGCCTTTTGTTATATGTGGTGATAAGCTCTTCGGACTGGTTCTTGGGATAATTCTTGCTATTTTTTCACTAGCTTTGCCGTTCCTTACAGATCATGTTGCCAGAGGCTATTGCTATAGTGATGGCGCCAACTGACAATTCTCGGTAGGTGCTTGTGGTCATTTTTCTGTCGTAATCCATATACTTTTGCATGCTTTCTTGTTTAATTATTACTTTAAAGTATTGAGATGTATTACCGACAGTCTTATAAATAGGTGGAACATTGATGTCATTTTATCATTGAATGGCACTGTTGGTCATCTCTATATTATATTGATAGTATTGTTCCTTTGTCATTCTGTTGGAATTTGAATTAGTTCCCAGATTATGTATATACGTGTTTGCTTTCATGTAAATAAATGTTATGCAACGCTCATTGTATTCCTGAACCAAATTTTCTAACAGTTTCAACGTAATCGAACGCAGGCCTTATGGTATTTTCCGCTTGTCTGATCCTGGAGGTGTAAAAACTATTCAACAATGTCAACAGCGTGGTTTTCATCCCCATGAAGATCCTCCAGATGGAAGCCCTATATATGAGTGCTGCAGCCATGTTTATATGAACCCAAAATTGCAGTTTGATGTTATAGATCTACGAGCACAGTGATTCATTTAATATAATTATCTACCACCGAGTAAGTGATGTACCCTCAGGTCGGTATTATTTTATGTAGCTTCTGTGTTGCAGCATAAATTTTTCTATTGGTTTAGAAGGTAGAGTTTCGAAGCTTATCATGGGGATCTTATTCTGAATCTTCATGAAGTGCACCACATGCCATAAAGGACATTCTTCTGAACAACTGCACTCGAAAAATGTACCAGTTATCAGTAGTTACTGTGTCACACCGCAGTGAATGTTCCCAATTGCTAACAAGGATTGAAGTGATCATGACTCTCTTTGTCATAGACATTCTATCAATTTCTTGTTACAATAGCATGTGGAAAAGATAGTGAGAGGAAAGATGAGGTAGAATGCTTTTTGGTCCCGTGTGGTATGAATTATGTCATTCTTTGAAATTTGCATCAAGTTTTTCTTAAGAGGTTGATATATTAGAAATTATTAAAAATTTCAATACAATTTTTTTTGTAAATTATTATTATTCTTTAATTATCTTTTGAAATTCTTAAATCAAGATATTAATCTTTTTATTTTCTGTATTAATTTTAAAATGACCTGGTCTATTTTATAGTAATGTGTCATTTTAAATTATCTCTAAAAAAAATTCTTTCTCAAGTGGTGGACTTTTGTAAAGGTTTTGAATCATAGCCTTTCATGTATTCTTTTAGAAAGAACATATATCTTGAATTATAGAAGATCCCTTAATATAGGATATGATAGTATGTCTTGCATTTGCACAAACTGAGAATTCATATCTTCATGCCTTTAGATATAGACAAGCCCATAAGAAATACAATTTTATATAAATACTAATTTCTTTCTACTAAATCCAATGTATCTATGATTAAAAATAATTTATAATAATTATCTAGGATAATTTGGAATTATTAGATAGATTTGCAAGTAGTTTTTATAACTTAACCAAAAATAAAACTTTGTTACTTTTAAGTCCTTTCATTTCTTTACAAAAAAATAATGTAACAAAAAATATAACAAAAATGATGTATATTAATGTATGAAAAAACATTAATGTATTTATATATTTGTATAGAATTGACATATTGACCAAGATTCTTACTAAATTTACCAAGTTTTGGTTATTTTTTGGCTTCTTTTCATGCTATTCATTATTGTATTGTAATGAATAGCATAAAAATAACCTTGAGGTGAAGTTGTTTTTGTACTACTATATGTCTATTAAGGAACCTCTACATCTAAACCTAGGTTAGGTGACCAAAACCTAGTCCATACATTGATTTTGTTATATATATATATATATATATATATATAATTTTATCTTTAAATCATAGATCATTAAAAATCTTTTAATTTAAGAAAAAAAGTAACAACATATAAGACACTAAATTCTTTTTTGAATAGGATAACAATGTTATTGGATTTTTTCAAAAATAATAAATAATTAGTGGAATTTAATTCTTTAAAACTTATCAAAATAAATAAATAAAAACTAAAAAAGAGTTCTTTTGTAATTAAATATTCAAATTATAATAATGATAATAATAATAATAATTATTATTATTTTATTTGATATTAAAAGAAAAAAAATTATTTTTTAAAGTTTTGGAATAAAAAGAGAGATAATAAAATAAAATATCTATTAAAACATATATTTTGAAAAGACACCATAATTTTTTTCTTTTATAGAGATAGGATGTGTATGTTTAAAAGATTTTTACAGTTGCTAATCTATGTAAGACTTTATAGCTAATAATTTGCAGTAGAGTGATGTCATTGTAAGATAGTCTTTGATTGTTATCAATTTAAGTTGAATTTAAGTTGAATTTAAGTTGAATCTTGGAGATTGTTGTGATATTGCCATGAAAATAGTCATTAGTATAATCTTATGAATCTTGATTAAAATAAAAAAAATAGCTAATTTTTGAGATATCTTGAGAACAAATCACTTTAGATGATAACTTGAGAACAAATAGGATGCTATTACATGAGTCATAAATTCATTAAAGTTGATAAATTCTAAAATGGTTATATTTGTAAGAAACTTGTGTCACTATAGAACCTTAAAAAAGAGTAAAATGTACCTTTATTATTAAGTAAAATAATTAGTTGAATTAGAAATGTGATACTAGAATGGTAGCTGATATAAAACTTAAAGGTACACAGATTATTTGAATATCACTTTTACAATTACATTCCACATTTAAGGAAGTGTTTAGTTTTTTTTGCTTAAATTTTTAATTTATTATCATAAAAATTTGTAACATCATCTACATTTATTTGTAACATTTTTATAAAAAAAATTACTTAATTTTTTAAAAGTTAAAAAAAACACAATCAATCAATCAATCATATATATATATATATATATATATATATATAAGTAGAAAATATATTTGGCATTGAATAAATTATTTAAAACTAGGAATATAATTTTAATTACTTTTCATTTGCACAAAAAAAATATCTTTTTTCACAATCTAACCACACTTCATGGTATTACCAGTGCACTTTGCATTATGTTTGGTGACCCTTCTATTTCATAAAATTCTCCCATATTCTCTCATAAGGCTAAGAAAAAAGCAACAAGATTTGTTGCTAATATCATTTATTTTTAAACAAGAGTATGTTCATTCTATTAGCTGACCAGTATGAGAAATTTGTTGACTATGTGACCCCTAAATTAACTACACTATTGACAATGAGAGAGAAATTATAAATATTCATCCCCATTAATAATTATTTTTCTAAAAATCCAATAGAAAATAGGAAAAAAAATACTAAAGTTTTAAAAAATAAAAATAAAGTAGTTAAAATTCTAATAGAATTTGGATGATCATGACTACAACCAAATGGTTCAGGCCGCACACATCCATCCCAGCGATGGCGTTGTTGGGAGGCCACTTCGCTGCTGATGAAGATGAATTATTATTATTTTTGTGTTGGTGGGTATTTGCATCGCTGCTCTACAGTTGCCCAATTGTGAAACTTCGGTGTCTCATTTGACCTGTTGAAGTTCTCAAGCAGTGTCGAATTCGATAGCGAGAGCATCGAGGAAGAATATTCTTTGTTTGTTTGTATGTGTTGGTTTTGTTGCTGTTTCTGCCATTCGGGAGATATAGAGCTCTGGGTATTGTAACGCCCGAGCTCACAATGTCACGCTGCTATGCGGCGCATCGCTAGGATTACTAGTGGAAGCGAACTCATCATACTTTATTTGTTAGCTCAGCTCTCCTCGGTTGTTTCCTAGTGTAAGGTTTCCTTGTCTTGATAGGTTTATCACTTGTGGTTTCTTCGCAGTCACCGCTCCCGCTCAATTCAGCAGTGGTTTCCATGTATCAACTAAGGCTTCATCGAATTACGAATTCATGGTTTGGAATTACTCCAGCTTTCCATCATGATTCTCGCGTACTTATCAAGGAAGGATCCTCGCTTGGACCTGGGTTTCCATCTAGGGTTTTTCCTAAGATGTTAATTGATAGTTTAACTAATAGCTGTTGCCATTCCTGGCGCGACAATGGAAGGCATAGGGAAGTAAGGGCAAGATTTTCAACGTCTGGGTCGCCATCGCAAAGTGGAGGATTCTTAGGCGATGGGCTTGGTAGAGAGGGGAAGATTGAGGATAGTCATACGAGAACGAGAGCGTACAGGAAAGAGGATTGGGAAAAGCTTTTTAGGCCACAGGTTGTGAAAGAAGAGGAGCTAAAAGATCACTTCAACGAGGACCCCATCTGGCTGTGGGTGTTTAAATCATGGCTCAGGTATGTAATTCTCTCCCAGCACGTAATTTTAGGTCAACACATCTTATAGATAAAAAAGGATTATCTTAATATGCGTTATGTTTATGTTTTCTTTATTTCATGATATTCAAGTTTGTTGATGCGCAGCAACCTATTCGTCAGTTCTAGTCTTAAAGACCAGCTCTGTTTCTTTTATTTGTGGAACAGGCTTGACGGATCTTTTACCTTTATTTTTATTAATAACGACGCTTTTCCCTGAAGTAATAGATGCATTCAACTTCCTTTTGAGGTCACACGCCCACACACGATCATTAAATTGTCATTTCCTTTCGTTCATTGGTTTTGCAGCGGTATCAAGGCCATGATGCGATTTCTGTGGGAACAGCCAGGCCAGCTTAAGCAAATCGAATGGCCATCAGTCAAAAGCACTGTAAGAACTGTCACATGTCAATGCTGTTTCATAGTTCTACAAGACATGTTTCTGAAACTCCACTTCAAACGTTTTTGAAAGTTTTTTTTTTGGTTCCCCTGCAGTTTGCGGCAGCATATCATTGTGTGATACAGAATATCTGCATATTTTCAAAAACTCCCTTTTTTCAGGTCTACGGAATCCTCTGCTAGTTGCGGTTGCCAGAACTGACCCCACCCTGTGTCTTGGCGTGGCTTCGTAGGTGAAAATGGCGCTGCTGACGCTTGTGGTGGTGATGTTTCTCATGGTATTCCTGTCTTCCGTTGATTCACTGTTCCGCCATTTTCTGAAGAGCAGCATGAGGCCGATGACATAAATTGATGGTATTTCTGGCGCACAACATCGCAGTTTACATTTATGTACATTTATCGTGGTAGATACCTTTAGCAGCGCCCAACAGTCACATGATGTTCAAATGAACCTATTCTTTCTGTATGTGTGCAGCCAGCATTCAATGAAATGAATTGGTTCCAACGCTGTACGCCGAGAGTGATAATTCTCACTGAGGCTTCTTGTTTAAACCTGGACACACCTTCGAGGCTTAGAGTATGTGCAACCAAAACTGCATATTACAAATTGGCGCTCAGAAAGTAAAAGATTACAGTAATTGTCGTCATTGTTTGAGTCGGTATCCACAGGGGGGCTTTGATTGATTGCAGTACTGGTGCTTGCAGGATGATTTGCTCCCTTCTAATGTACACAAATGACTTTGCATACTTTGTATTCTTCTCACCAAAAGCTTATTGGAGCAAGGCTTGAATCATTTGGGCATTGTGTCAAAATTAAGATTGTTTCGAATTGTTTTCTCTACTGTGCGAACACAGTACTGATTGTGAATGGATAGGTGTATAGTATCATGCCATCCTCGGTCGTCTTTGCTTAGAATTTGCAAAAATAAATATGATTCGCAATCACAACATAGAATGATGTTGAGGAGAAAGTCACATTTCAACCTAAAACTAGAATGTAGTATTCGGGACTAAATGCAAAGAACCATTTCCACGATAGTGCTTCTCATTTCTATAGAATGAAATTTGCAGGATTGGATTGAAAGTATCAGGAGAAATTTGGGATGCAGTTGTGCTACTAGACACAATACTGAGCATGTGTGAGTGTGGTGACATGCGACCTCAATTCCCCTACAGTATCAACAGCCTGCATTTAATCTAGTAAACAAAAGTGAGACCAACAAAAACACTTCAAATGGAATATAATTTTGACATTAACTTGGCCTCAAAATCCAAAGCTGCCCAGCGGATATAACATCATATCCGACAGGCAATATTATTCTTGAATTCATGTTTCCAGATAGTGAAGGCCAGTCTTTCTTTTAAAGAGATTCATACAGCTCGTTACTGGCAGCAAGCGTGCCCGACCCTGTCACGGGGAATTAATCTCAGCTCTGATCCATGCTTCAAGAACACATTGCCTGCTCCACAACATCACATAAGCAAATCATTTAGCACTCTCGCAAACATATTCTCTGGGAGAAGTTGTAACGAATCAGACAATATATACACAACGGAATTTCCAAGAATTGAATATTCACCTGCACTTTGTTGAGGATTGATGCCCACTCCGTCTGCAAGAATAAAGAGTGTGCACCCGAATATTAGACTAATGGCGAAAAACTAGAAAAACCAGCACAATTCAACTCCTAAATAGAAGGACGAACATAAATGACAGCAATTCAACTTGATGTTTTCTACACGAAAGTCCCTGTTCTTCTCCGATCACTCACTTTGATAATAATACACAATTATCTACCTCTCGAACCAAAGTATCTTATGCTCCACTAAGACCACTGCAACATGCAACTTAAGAAAAAGCCGGGCTCCTGCAGTATATGCTAAGCTTAAGATATATGAAGAACGTAAAATTGCTCACCATTGGTGATGATGGCGCTTGTCTGGGGCGGAACTTTAAATTCTTCGGCTGCAAACTTGAGGACGGCGACGAATGGAGCCTCTTCTGGTACACTGAACCTGTTCTTACGATACGCCCCAATAAATTTGTCAAACGGTGAACTCTGCTACTGTGGATTTTCTAACAGCCAAAGCTCATCACTACGCTGCGATCTGAACTAACGTCCAATTTAGTCAACGAGCAGATAAATGCTTACACTTTGTACGGAAGCTTTGGGTCAGAAGTCAGCGTCACCTTGAAAGATACCTTCCCACCTGACCTGTTCAATCCAAAAACATTAACACCCCAACTACATCAGAAGGAGAGGGATTGGCCCAGAGCAAATCAATTCTCATCTAGACGACCATTTCCTGATTTCTCTTTGCTTAAAAATTTACAAAAGCCAATGAAATAGTACCCAAATTGATGTACAAAAATAGCGTATGACCCACAATACTTGAGCTCACGGCTCACGCACGTAAACCCTAACTCTGTCCTATGCACTCACAAGCTTTCCCACAAACCACACCACAAAACACCTCGCGATAGCATTCAAGTGAAAAAAACAAAACTCGCAACAACCAACAGCTGCTTCTCTACAAAGCGACACGCAGCATGTCATCACCGGCGGAACTTGACAACGAGGCCAAAGAATTTCAAGCTCCATGACTCAGTGCAACAGCTCGCGAATTCGCGACAATAAACGGAATGAAGTGATTCAATAAGTGGGTAGAAGAGAAGAGAGAGGCGCAAGAGCTCACGTACATGATGGCTGATGGAAATCCGACACCAGCTTCTCCGTTGCTCGCTGATGATCTCCTGCAATCTGCTCTCCCTCATCCCTTCCAAGCCTCCTCTTCCCCTTCTCCGACGCCTGCCTTGACCACGGTCTCGGATCTCCATCCCATCACCGCACTCCTTCTCATGTGACATCGGTGTTAGGGTCCCATATCGTAATACCGAGGGTATATGGCATCTGGATGAAACTTGATATGGTTACGTTTTCCGTGATTTTGAATGATGTCATTCGTTCGTGAATGGGTTCTGTCCAAGTATTTTGTGACAAGATACTTATTTCACTTTTTAATAATTCTACAAACCATTGTATATAATCATTTATTTTACAATAGTTATGAAAAAGATAACTATGGTTAACTCTTTATGATAACTTAAAATGCTAAGGAAATTTTTTAGTTTGAAAATGTGGGTAAGAAGTTAAGGTTCACTATTAGTGAGTGGGAATAATAAAAAAAAACTTTAATGATCCCTCTGAAAATACTCATTTTGAAGAGTTTATAATTATTTTGTAGGTAATAATATGCATAAATGTGTATATGTATTTTACTCTTAAATTTCCTCTCATCAAATGCAGATAACTGTCCATTGTTGATCTTAACATATGCAAGATGTTTATTGTTCCCAAATTGCATAGTGCTTATAAAATTTAAGAAAAACATTTGACACATTTTTTCTTTAATTTTTAAAATTTTAAATCATGTATTTAATGTTAACATAAAATTGGGTTGTAAACAGAAGTTTGGTTTCATTCAGTCATCTATTCATATTTAAATTGAAAGTAATATATAAAATATTGGCTTCAAATATTATTGTATATTGAAATAAAAAATATTTTATTTACTTTTGAATATTAATAGTCTGTAACTTTTTTTCTAAAATATATTGCAAACATTTATATTACTTTTTCCTTTGGAAAATTCTAACCATGTTGTATTAATCTACATAGGTTTCAGCTGATAAAATAATTATTCTTGTTATCAAACCTTTGGCAATTCTATTTCGATATGGCCAACTTTAATTTGACGAAATGTATTTTTTGAGTTTTTTTATTCAAATGAAGTAAAATATAAAATAATATGGAAGAGTTATTTGATTCTTGGCATTAAAATCAATAAAACAGTTTGTAGGATAGTAGTTCACAATGAACTTGATTCGTGTGCAAATTGGTATTTTGAAAGTAGCTTTATACACACACACATACAAATTTAGTGCTCTGACGTATGCATTCACAATAAAACTAATATTTCGTGTCATATTCTATACCTTGGAACAAATAGATAAATATAACAAAAACACGTATATATGTAGGTATACATCCACACATATATACCTGCACAAATACATGTGATTAAACTGAACATAAGAAATACAGTTATTGGTTTTAGAATTCAACAATTAGATAATGAATATTTTAATTATTTAAAAAAAAAAAAACATTTTCGTCTTTACATGCACAAACAAAATGATAATATTCCTAACGAATTAGAGAATTAAATAAAACTCTGCCCAGATAAAAACAACAAAAAAATAAAAATAAAAATAAAAATACCAAGTATTAATTACGGATTCAAATTTATCAATAAAAAATTTTCAAACAACAAAATAAAGTATTTAAATGCCCTAGTAATTGTTTCTGATTTAATTAAATGTTCCAAAATGAACTTTGATTTTCAGCAGATGTAAATAGTTGTATAATTACAATACTTTTTTGCTTTAATTCATTTTATGATCATGTCATAATTTAAAAACTAGGTGAAACCATGTTTTTCATATTCTATACAAAATTAAAAATTTAATGAAATCTTTTAAATATCCTCAACGGATTCCATACATAATATCTTAAACTAAAATTTACTATTAAATTTTAAGAATATATGAATTCATCAAATAATAATGAAAATATATATATATATATATATATATACATTCTTAATAAAATTTTCAAAAAATCATTTTTAATGTACTTATGTGTGTATATATATATATATATATATATATATACACACACACACACACATATATATATATATATATATATATATATATGTATATATATAATTGAAATTAATTTTTTTTGTAGTATTTGACATGTAATTATTAAAAAAAAATCATATAAAGTATTTATAATTCTTAAATTTTAATAAGTAGTGTGTGATATTGAAATTATTTTTATTTTAGTTAAATTTAGATATCAATGTAATTAATTAGAAGATAATTTTATTTAATTTAACTTTTATCTTTTTTTAAAGAATGAAAGTATAAATTACATCTACATATATATAAATGCAATAAATTAGAATGCTTAATAAGTTAAATAAACATAGATTTTTAACTATTTTCCTAATTTTATTTAATCTTGACTTAATTCATAAATTACATAAATATATATTTATATATTAATTTTAATAATAGAACTTTATTTAAATAAGTATAATGCTATATATTTATATCACTTAGTCAATAATAAAAAAATAAAAATAGTACTTATATTTATAGTACATAGATTGATTTAAATTTTTAAATAAATAATTTATTAAAATAAAATATAAATATTTATTAAGTTTTTGGTATGAATTTGTTTAAAATATATACATGCATACATATTAAAGAAAAGAATCTAATTTAAAATTTCAACATATTTTTTTATACATACATTTACATATATTTGTATGTATGAAGATATTTATTTTCACATAAGTATTTAAGTATTTTTTTAGCAATATGCATCAATGACTTAAAAAACATATAAAAATAATCAAAAAATCAATAAACTTCAAATAATTATTATAAACATTGATTAAAAAGCATAATACAAATCTAAAATCTTTAATCAATTAATTTATTTATTTTAAAAAGTTATAAAGTAACATAACTATATAACAATAATTAGTAAATATAACTTTGTATATATATATATATATAGATATATATATATCTAGACGTATTTTTTAATTTATAATCTCAATAGATAATATTTTTATAAAATATGCAAGGTATTAGAAATCAAAATATTGTTGCATGCAATTGTTTCTTATTCAATGATTTATAACAAAGTTCTATTAAAAAAAAGAGATGTCAAGCAAGGGAGTTTTTATTTCTAAAAGCACATCTTTAGAAGCTATTTTAAAAGAGAAGTAAGGGAGCCAAAATAGATAGATACTCAAAATCTAGAAGTTCCAACAACATCAAGAAATTTGAGAGTGCAATGATAAGGAAATTTGAGTACAACCTCTTGTTAAGGACATGAATCTTGAAGAAAGAAAATCCTCAATACACTCTTCTGTCATTAAATAGAACTAGAAAGTCACTTAAAAGGTGATGAAATATTAAACTAGAGTGGCTATTACTAAAAACAAGAAGATTAGAAAGTCTTGAAACAAGACTAAAGACTAGAAAGGCATTGACAAGAAAAAGAAGGCTTCACTCTTGTCTCTATATATACTTTCTAACTAGGAGCTACATGGCAATATTCTATAGGACGTCCAACATGTAATGACTTTGTTAGTATCAAAGATATGAACTAGAAGATGATGCATAAATTAATGAAATCCGTATCAAAGAAAAAGTGACAAAATAGAAATAAAAAAGTACGTATATTAAAAAAAAACTGAAATGGCTTATTGCCAAAAGAACAAGAAAGGAGTTGAAAAGAGTGAAGAAGGCTTCATTCTTGCCTCTATATATACTATCTAACTAGGAGCTATGTGGCGATGTTCTATAAGACCTCTAATATGTGTTGACTTTGCAGGACACATGCCTTAGCTTACAAGGAAAGTTTTTATGTGTGGGCCACATAGTTAGCTTGTTCTTCAAACTATCAACATGTGTGTCACATGGCCAACTTATTGGCTACATTTCTAACCTAAAAGATCAATTAAAGATATCTATAAAGCCAAAGTAGCATCTATGAAGCTTCTAGGAAGCTTTTCTAGAAGATATTATGAAATTAACTTATTTTTATGGACTATTATCTAAATCATATAAGTAATTATTGGTTTACATGTCTATGTTTGTGACATTATTTCTGTTTCTAAGAACAAGTTCCACAAGGAGCAAACTTCATATGTTGAGGAAATCCAAGATGCAACAAATTGTATTTGTCACATACTCAAATCTTTATTTTCTTTGAAGATGGTTGATAGGCCCTCTCAACCATCAATAATATCCCATACTAGGACAAAAAGACCACCTTGTTATTTGATCATTGTTAAGGCCTTCATAACTTCTTTCAAATAAAATATTTGAAACACCATCAGGAGTTATTCCTACCTCAAATAAAATTATCAAACATCGAAAGTCTCTTCCAAGGTCGTGATACCAAATGCATTGTATCTTGCCATCTATTTGAAGAAGAACATGTCATTCTTGAGGATCTTCATCTTGATTGTGTTGTCTTAAAGATTATGATAATCGTAATATTTTGTCCGATAGGTCAGCAAACAAAGATTCTTCAATCAAATCTATTGGTTGTTGGTTCTCCATCTCTTTAGCATCACAAATATAAAGAAGGTACTAACAAGGATTGAAAGGAGAATGTTATCTTGTCTAGATCTTATTTCTTTTATAAAGAAGGTCTTCATCTTGATTTTCATGGATGTCATCGATGAAAAGCCTCTACCTTCTTTGCTGCTTTTGTAAGGTTCTTTGCTAGCTCCTATGTACATTTATTAATATTATATTTTTGCCAATGAACAAGATATCCTAACTTATTTTGGTGCCATCTTAAGTCTATGACTTCTTGCACTTCAAATTCTTCATTATTGTCTACTTCTATAAGAAGACATGACACTTGTCTTCTTCTTGGTATATCCATTGTCTTGTATGGTTCAAGAAGAGACACATGGAATATTGGATGGATTTTCATTGACTCCAATAAGTGTAAACGATATGTAATTGGATATATTTGTGCTGAAATAGGAAATGCTCCAAGCTTATGATAGTCCAATTTATCACAAGGACAAGTAGTCTTGATATTGTGACGAAATAATCATATCTTATTACCCATGTATAATGATAGTTATTCTTTTTAATAGACATCCGTATTGATCTTTTGTTGTTTTTGAGCTTCTTTTAACCACACTTTTATTATTACATGTAACTCTCA